TCTCTCAGTGGCCACTCCAGGGTGTTTCAAAGGGATAGATTGAAGAAGGAGTGTGCACTGAGGTTTGCCACAGCAGTCTCTGATCTGAAAACCTGATGAGTCCATTGGCAGACGCCCGAGAGCAAGGCAGAATTCCATCTCATTGTAGACACTGAAGCCACAGATGTGTGTCATGTGGCTTGACCGAATGGCAATCAGAATTTGCACTGTTCCATGGTGCACAGACTCGTACACTATTGAGAAGGTACAAGGAACTGTTCATCAGGAATCTTGCTCAGGAGGTTGAAAGGCATTTCCTTGTAAATGAAATTGGTCTTGTCTACTAAGCCCTCCTCGCAGATAGCTACAGTCTGCTCAGTGGATGGATGGATCATCTCAGATCTTGTTGAGGTTTGTAAACGTTGGGCTGACTACTTTGTGCAGCTAGATCAGGTAGACCCTCCAGCATTTAGTCTGGACACAAGCAGTGTCGCAATCCCTTTGCTGGACCCACCCGTCAGCAAGGAAACCCGTACTTTATCTGAAGTTAGGGATCTCTAAGCTGATGGGGCTTGCATACTGTCCTGGCTGCCATCTGGCAGTCTGGTTCCATTACATTCCAGTCCTTTTGAGGGGTCTGGTCATCCCTCTCTGAAAGAGGAAGGGGGATTGTTGGGACTGTATCACACTGCTCAGTATACCAGGCAAGGTTTCTGAGATGGGTCCGTGACTATTTACTGTACTACAGTAACAGAGACAGGACCAGTCTGGATTCACTCCTGGCAAGTCCACAGTAGACTATATCCTAGCCTTTTGAGTCATTGTGGTATGCACCTTACATCGACTTCAAGAAGCTCCTGGCCCTAGAGGTCTCCTGGACCAAGACCAAAATCCAAAATTTATTGGAACCTGTTCATTCAGTACCTGTTTACAGAGGGTATTTTGAAGTCTTTGAGTGCTTTACATACCTTGGTAGTGCAGCCCATGTTCCTGGGCTGTCAGACCAGATATCAGTAGACAGATTGGTCTGGCACCAGGAGCCATGAACTCAGTTAATATGAGTATTTGGTGATGCCAGTGCCTATTCAGAGGGACCAAGTTACATGTCTTTAAGGCCTCGATACTGCTAGTTTCGGTTTATGGAAGCGAAACCCGTAGCTGGAAGCGAAGGGTAGATGCAACTATGTGCCCCCGTCGGCGTTAGCTGCACTGATACATATAGATATATGTGTGTGTGTGTGTGTGTATATATATATATATATGCATATATACATACTTACATCTATCTATATATATATATAACACACACGTTTGTATGTATATGTATAAATAAATATATATATATATATATATATATATATATATATATATATATATTTATATATACATATTATATATACATATTTATATATACATATATATATATATATATATATATATATATATATATATATATATATATATATATGTGTGTGTGTGTGTGTGTGTGTGTGTGTGTGTGTGGTGTATTTACACATATATATACAACATATATATATATATATATATATATATATATATATATATATATATATATATTTATATATATTTACACACACATATATATACATATATATATATATATATATATATATATATATATTATATATATATATATATGTATATATATATATATATCCACATATGCATCTATATGCACACCTATCTATTTATACAGATTACCCAAAACAGAGAAGACTCAACCTCGAGAAACTCCGCGATCTGTTCCTTCTTTATCTTCGTCGAAGTATCTTGTTCCGCCCTGTAGTCCTTTGTAATGACGTAAAATTTGACATCCTCGAACCTGTTGGAAGCCAAAATGTATGCGAAATGGGCTAAAATATATGCATATATGCTTGGTTTTACTGTCACTATGATAAAGTTCTATTTTAGATGCCCTGTCGAGGCAACGAAGAGAAAATGGAAAGGGCAAGAAAAGGACGAGCAAAACAAAAAGAGATTCATCCTTACTCTCTTGGAAGCATTCTAGAGACCTGTTCCGGCCTCAGAGTTATGAATCCCCCCCTATTTCCCCTGCGGTAGAAATGCTGCTTTGCCAAAGGATTTCCATTCTCGCTGCCAAATTTGACTCTCTTTTCCAGGCACTCTGCGCCGGGGAACGTGTTCATGAGTGTCTGCTTTGTCTTCTCCTGAAAATGTTGTTTTGTTTTGTTTTGTTAGTTTTCAGACGTGACAGTGCGATTTGATGATAGTGTCAAGCAAAACCTCGCCATTATTGCACAGGTAAAGTCACCCTTCATCGACAAGATTTGAGTTGGAATATGAGAGGAAAAAATTGATTCTGAAATAAAATAAAAAGCTTTGATTTAGAAATAAAATAAAAAAAAACTTTGATTTACAAATAAAATAAAAAGCTTTGATTTAGAAATAAGATAAAAAGCTTTGATTTAGAAATAGAATAAAATGATTTGATTTAGTGTGAGAGACTAAGTACCATGCTCCTCACCACATCGATCACATCCGCCTCGGTAAATTCCCCGACGTAAGAGTATAAGTTCCTTGTAAGAATGTTTTGCAGGATCAACTTGGCTTTCTCGAGATGAGGGGACCCGGAAGGCATCCGCAGAATCTGGTACATGACGTCATCGGTGAGGTAAGTGTAGGCCGCCAAGTCGTTGCACACTTCGCTCAACTTGAAGCTACGGAGGGAGGCCTAAGGTCTATAAAAGGTCTATGTGCTTGCATGCACGTGCACGATAATGAATATATGCACAGTAATTAGGGCGGGTGAACAACTCTGTCTGCACTAGTGTACATACTCAATATCATGAATACATTCTTCGAAAAGAGACTAGAGTGGAAGTGGACATGGAAGTCGTCATCTGACATCAAAAACGAAATTGTCTTCATAATTTCAAATAGGCGCGATATAGTAAAAAATGTGGAAGTTATTAATAAAGTAAATGTTGGCAGCGACCACTGAATGGTCAGAGACCAAATCAAATTACATCCCAGACGGGAAAGGGACAAACTCATACGAAAACCGCAGCCAAATTCAACTAACTTGAAGACCAGAGCGACAGAATTTGACCTCAACATCAAAAAAAAGATATTCACTTCTCAGCTACGAAGATCTCAACACTGACCAAGTCAACAAACAATTCAATGACATTATAAAGTAGGCGGTAAGAACGTCAAGCAAAGCTCCAGCAAGCTTTCGGTAGAAACTAAACAGCTTATGCAAAAACGTAGGGTCATGAAAGTATCGTCAAACAGGGACAAGATAGAATGAGCTGAACTAAATAAAAAGTAGAGAGATGTGCGGAAATTTAATATAATAAATGAAACAATGATCTCAGGTACCAGCATGAAAAAAGGAGACTTGGCTTAGAAAGAAATCAAATATATGCAATAAAAAAAACAGACGGAGAAGTGACGTATAAGAATGAAATCATAAGAGTAGTGGAACTATACAACTCAAATGAAGGCCTCGGATAGAAGCGAACGCTTCTCAACGGTAAACCCCGAAAGCCTGGGAAAATGCAACAATTCTTTTGATACACAAAAAAGGGGATAGAAAGGATCTAAAAAAAAAAAAATAGGCCTCCTTCCAGTTACTTACAAACTGTTCACAAAAGTCATCACAATTCGCATCTCTGACAGTCTGGATTCCAAGCAGTCTAGAGAACTGACAGCTTCCGCAGTGGATTCTCAACAACAGACCACATACACACGCTAACCCAAATAAGAGAAAAATAAACGAATATAGGGAACCCCTGTGTATGGCATTCATCTACGAAAAGGTATTTGATTGTACGAATACTAGCAGTACTAGAAGATATTCGAAGACAGGGAGTAGAGGAAGTATATTGTAGAATACTGAAAGATATATACGAAGATGGGACAGTAACCATCAAGCTCCACATGGAAACCGATAAAATACCAATTAAAAAGGTGTGAGGGCAATACCATCTCGCCAAAAACTGTACACCTTGCCTTGAGGAAATATTCAAGAAGCTAGAATGGAACGGAAAGGGTATCAAAATAGGAGACGAATACCTAAACAGTCTAAGTTTTGCAGATGATATTGTTCCTTTCAGTGAATCTGCAAATGAAATACAACAACTAATAGACATTCTGAAAAGAGAAAGTCTGAAAGTCGGAATTAGGATGAACAAGAAAAAAACTAAAATCATGTTTAACAGTATAGTGGAATTCGATCAGATGTATGTGCAAGGCGAAGCGCTACAGGTAGTGGACATGTATATATACTTTGGGTAACTCGTCCAGACAAACACATCTAGCGAAAAGGAAATTAAGCGACGCATCAGTCTAGGCTGGAGCGTCTTCGGTAGACAAAGTAGAATACTAAGAGGCTTCTTGCCATTATATTAAAAATGATTTTTTTAACCAATGCATCCACCCAATTATGACCTATGGATCAGATATGTGGACTACAACCGAATTACTGGAGAAGAAACTAAGAGAGGGATGGAGAGGTAATGGAGAGGGGTGGAGAGGAAATGATTGGGAGAGGCCTATGTCCTGCAGTGGCTGATGGTGATGAAGAATATATACGTATATATGTATATACATGTAATATATTTGTATATATATGTGTGTGTGTGTATATATATATATATATGTGTGTGTGTGTGTATAATATGTATATATACATATATATATATATATATATATATATATATATATATATATATATATATATATGTATATATATATATATATATGTATATATACATATCATAAATATACACACACATATGCATACATATATTCGCATTTATTTATGTATGTATCTGTATTTATGTTTGTAGGTAGATAAGCAGTTGTGGGGAAATTATCTGTATCCATGAATACCTGTGTATGTATGAGAAAAGTGCATTTCGTATGTTTGTGAGAAACCTCGATTACCTTTGTCCATTTCTGTCCTCATACTTGTCAGCCTCTAGAAGGGCGTCCACTAGCCTGTAGATAAATGATTTTTGTTGTAATTAGATACAAACAGTATGTGTTGTCATTGTCTGTGAAATCTTATCGATATCATGGTTTTCTCGTCTTTAAACTTCATTATTATAATTGCTTGTTGGTAACAACAATTTACTGTTTATTTTTAATTCTGTCTAATGACAAACAAGCAGGATTTTTTTTTTGCAGACGCATTTGTGTGCTGTGTCGTGCGATAGAATGTGACAAGCGTCTGAAAAGCTTAGTTCCAGCTCACATTCGGTCGATGATCTTGACGACGCGGTGCTGGTAGGCCTTCTTGTGCAGCATCATCCTGGCGTGGTTCATCTCGTACAGGTTCTCCGCCTCCGACTCCTTGAAGACGATCTGCCACTCGCCCTCGACCTCGGCCGCCCTGGAGAAGTGAACCAGCCTCTCGTACTCGAAGGTCACCTGAGGGCAGAGGACGACCGTGACCCGACTTACTTTCTCCCTGACCTTTCCCTGCGACCTTGTTTTCTGTCTCCACTAGGCTCAGATCCCTTCTGCCTCTGCTCGAGAGTTCAGAAGTCGCGGTTGAAGTAATATTTCTTCCAATTTCTCTCTTGATTCTCTCAGCAGCACAAGTAAACTATTAAGAACAAATCACCAAGAACATCGCTTGTCAGCGAAGTGGAAACCTAAACCCAAAGCGGATGCCAGGGACGAGAGGGAGTGGCTGGAGCCGACGGTGGGGCACGCGGGTGGCTCACCCCAGGCAGGCCGCTGCCACGCATGCCAGGGCCCCGCCGGCCACGGCTCCCGCCAGCCCCCGCCGCCGAGGCACTTCCTCGGGCCGGTCGCCCCCGCCGGCGCACTCACGTTGATGCCGAGGCCGTGGCAGTCCCTGAGGAAGTAGTCCACTTGTCCACGTCGGCGCCCGTCCTCTTGTTGTTCACGATCTGAGGGCGAGATTGCGGCTAGTAAAGGACACTTCTAGTTGAGGCAAAAAACGGTGGAATATCTCCCATCAATCCTTTCCTGATGTTGCGGTTCATGCTGATGCAAATTGTGATGATGATACGAATATAGCAATGGTGACTGCGATGATATAAAGGATTCACGTTGACAGACAGGCAGACCGACAGAGAGAGAAGAGAGAGAGAGAGGTAAGCCCGACAGAAACAGACCAACAGACAGACAGACAGACACAGAGAGAGAAGGAGAGAGAGAGAGAGAGGCAAGCCGACAGACAGACCAACAGACAGACAGACAGAATGAGAGAAGGAGAGAGAGAGAGAGGGCGAGCGAGAGAGAGATGAAGAAATAGAGACCAGGGAGAGAGAGCGAGAGAGAGAGAGTGAAGCGAGAGAGTAGAGAGGAGCGAGGAGAAGAGAGAGAGAGAGAGCGAGTGGGAGAGAGAGCGAGAGAGAGAGAGCGAGGAGAGAGAGAGAGAGGAGAGAGAGCGAGAGAGAGAGAGCGAGCGAGTGAGAGAGAGAGAGAGAGAGCGAGAGAGAGAGAGAGAGAGAGGGGGGGGGAGAGAGAGAGAAGAGAGAGAGACAGAGAGCGAAAGAGAGAGAGAGAGAGAGAGAGAGAGAGCGGGCGAGCGAGCGAGAGCGAAAGAAAGAGAGAGCGAAAGAGAGAGAGAGAGAGGAGAGGAGAGAGAGAGAGCGAAAGAGAGAGAGAGAGAGAGAGAGATGAGAGAGAGAGAGAGTGAGCGAGAGAGAGAGAGAGAGCGAAAGAGAGAGAGGAGAGAGAAGAGAGAGAGAGAGAGAGGAGAGAGAGAGAGAGAAGAGGAGAGAGAGAGAGCGAGGAGAGAGAGAGAGAGAGAGCGAGGGCGAGAGAAAGAGAGAGAGCGAGAGCGAGAGAAAGAGAGAGAGCGAGAGAGAGAGAGGAGAGGAGAGAGAGAGAGAGAGGAGCGAAAAGAGAGAGGAGAGAGGAGAGAGAGAGGAGAGAGAGAGAGGAGAGGAGAGAGAGAGAGATGAGAGAGAGAGAGAGCGAGAGCGAGAGAAAGAGAGAGAGAGATCGGCCCACCTCGAAAAGGAAAGCCTTGGCTGTGTTCTCCCGTTTTCTTCAA